ATTATATAACACTCTGTTATGTAGCAGCAGCAGCAACTGCTTTCTCTCTTTCAAGGGAGAACTTTCTGGTGTAAAAGCTTGTTTGATTTATGACCCCTGCAAGAATGAAAGGTCTACACTGTTAAATTTCTGGAAATCTTACATAATAACAGCCCCGTGACATTTTACACTTTATTCTTTTTAAAGAATAGTTATCCATTACTGAGAAGCAAACACAGTCAAAGCTTTCGGAGACAATCGCATACACAATCTGAATGGAAAGCCAAAAAGAGAACCTGGGTGGGAATCTAAAAGCTCCGCTAAATCCTTCACTCAGATTTGCACAGAAAAGATTGCCAAAGGCCAGAAAGGTAGGTGGCTCTAAACACCGCCTATAATCTATTTTATTACTCAGCGTGTCAAGGAGAAGTGAAGTGATCATTCTTCAAACAAGCTTGAGTATGCCGGGAATGACTGGAGATCTTCTGGAGAGATTCAGAATGAGCAGCGGCCGCCTGTGTGGCAGCGTCACAGATCAGACGGTTCAGAATAGCTACAGATGAACTTTTGTGTACATTTAAGAGCGATCCATTTCCTTTGATTAATTCATCTTTCATGTCGGAGACTTTTTCCAGTAAATGCCTTAAAATATCATGATGTCGATGAGTATTAATCGAATTACTATCCTGTCTCAACTTGTAATTCAAATTCAGTTCTGAGCAACCCACTGCAAGCTGCTGTGTTTTGAGGATAGCTGGGTGGAAGGTTGGAATCCCCTTAGCCAACCTCTCCAGGGGCATAGTTTACTTCCTTGTGTGATATGGAATTAAGCCCGGGTGAGTGAGTTCGTATTTCTGGAAACATTACTCTTAGGAAGAATAATCATAAGGAGCAGCTGCAATGCTGGATAATGTCATCTTCTTATGGAGCACACATAGCACGATGATCTCTATGTCTTCTAAGAATTTAAAATAGAAAGAAAAGATTCCATATTCCCATATTTCCAATTTGTCTCCCACAGATGAGTAATTCTAGCATCTTTGCCTGTACACAGGATCTTTCCTAAAACAAAAGTTAATGAAAACTTCTCACACTGTAAATGTACCTCGATACCCAACTCATGACCATGCGTTTGTTTATTATTTGGGAAAGGGTGCATATATCTCTGAGCTTCCCAAAATTCTTCTCCTCTTACCACAACAATCTGATTCAATATGTATTATTGTTATGGAATGTAAAGCCTTCCCTGTGTGCCCGTAGCAGCTAGCTAAGTATTGAAATTCAAGCTTTAACAGTGAAGCACGTAAAAGTTAAGATTTGTCAGCTTAGGGAGACTGTTGCACAGAATTTAATTATACAACAAAACAAAGAAAAACCCACACACATTTTCAATTTAGGGAAAATCCTTAATTTTGTATTTGACAGCCATATTCATGCTTTAAACTCATGACACACTGTGTCTGGGAAACTTGTCCATGCATGCAAAAAATAAAACTCTAAAAAGGTAAAAATTCAGTGCCTCACATAATCCCAAGTGGTATGTTCCCACTTAACTAGTAATTGTATTTTCTCTTCACGTATTTAATAGAACAACATGGCAGCCGCGCTCCTAATTTCTTCCTTGTGCTTGGAGGACAACCCAAGTGTTGAGTGCAAAGAGAAGTGCACACAATTAGCTAATATAATTCACAGATGTGCTCAGCGAGTTGTATTTTTTCCCGCTTTCTCTGTTCTTCATCTTGCCTTTGCACAGTACAACCTGAGAATTTGGACACTGCCCCTGCACTCACCCCATTGTGACCTTCTGGCGCATACATTTCGTATGACGTAGTAATTAAAATACACTAATTTGATAATAATGCAATAACAGCAGCACCCTGAAGGGTAAATTTAAAGAAAACATTTCCCCAGACCGCCAGTAAAGCATAATGCCCCATAGAAAATACAGTAGCCTGTTGGTGTGCTGTCTGGGGTCTCAGGGGTATTTCAGGGTACTGATTTCATACCACAGCCATTAAAATCTTAGCTCTCTCTTGGCTCCAAGCGCCTGCCTGGCGTCAGAGCTTATGAATGATATTGGATCCCCAAGGTGAAAACTTGATGAATATCTGAGGCTGTTTTGCAAAGGGTTAAGTGGCTCCTCCGCGGATTGAGACGCAGGCATATTCCACAATATTTAAACTAGATGATGAAGTTTAGAAGTTTAGAAGGTGTGATGACTGCCCGAGATTAATTCATAACAAATAACACAAAATAAATTGACAATGATGACCTAGTTTTACGTTTTTCAGCTTTTATTTTGGGAATCTATTTATGCAAAATAGCCAATTTTATTGTTCTAACTATACTCACTTATAGTCTATTTTTTAACGGTATTCTGCTTTAAAATTGGACAACTATGACATAAGCAACAAACTCATTAATGATCCAGCATAACTACTCACTGATTTACAAAAGGTCTCCATCGGCCTGGCAGTTTAGGGAGAGGATATGCTGCAATTTATGTTTGGCTCGGACGAAGCCATTCTTCTTAGAAAGCTTGCCGTACACTTCTGTATTATATTAACACTAAAAGGTCTGTAAATGCGCTGCCCTACAAAACTGCTCTCGAGCTCTCCAACATTCTGCATTTGCAAATCAAAACAGGTAATTTCTGCACATAATTATGCAGCTTTGTTGATCACAATATCCTCCACATATAAAAATGCTCATGTCCCGATCCCAAATGTCCATCAACCATGAATGTCATTAGATGTGAACCATTATGCGCAGTAATTTTGCCCCTAATTCCTCCTCATCAAGAAACAAGGACAAAAAAAAAACCCAAACAGAGAACAGGGGAAATAATTTGGCCGCTTTGTGTCCCTCCCTTTGTATCACTGGCATGGTGGACTTGAAGCCTAAAGAAGTGGAAGTGGAACAGATTGAACTTGCTCAGTGAAGCTTGTTCTACAGTGCGTTTGCACAAATCCTGCCTGTGACCCATTTGTGAGTGCGTTTATTGACCCCGTGTACACTGCTTCCACATTATGAGTTTGCTAATGAGCAACACTGAATGTGCCTAGATAGCGCTGAAAAGCTCTAGCTGTCAACATGAAATGAAATGCATGGCTGCGATTATAGCCTCATCTGTTTTATTAAGTCTATTTGTTGATTAGATTTTGTAGCTCAATAGATGCATCATTGTGGAACTAAGTGGGAAAAAATATGCTTTTAGAGCTAAAGTGGTAAAAACTCTGGTAACGAGTACGGCAGATATCATTTACTGACTGACGACTTCCAGAGGGTGGTCGCTGACATGGTTTACTTTAACAGGCAAATGCTTCCATTTGTCATTGTTATGCTAAACACTACTTTGACATAGGGGAAATTGAATCAAGGAGCTTGTCAGCGGCATTCTTGCGGCTGTCTTGTCCTTATCATTTCCATCAGGCTGATCAGAAACACATTGAGCTCCCCACCAACAGAGGGTCAAAAAGTCATAAAACCCTTGGTAGGCAGACATTTCCTGAACACTACATCATGTACTCCCTACGTTGGGTTTAAGCAGTGACGTAAAGTGTAAATAGGGAGTAATTAACATGTGAACTTCACTGGCAGTACTGTTGAAAATCTATTATTTACACTCAGTAATAATGGGAATTACAAGGTATAAGGAACCACAATACAAACTGGCATAGTTAATCAGAACTGCCTACGAGCAGAGGACACTACGTCCACACTATGTACGCTCCACACATCTGTTTTGGCCTCCCGTCCACACTAAGGAAAAACGCAACGTTTTGAAAACGCTCTCGAAAACGCATACATTTCAAAACGGAGCTGCCCCGTCGCAGTGTGGACGCAGACTATGACTGTGACCAATTAAACAAAGATAGCAGAGGGCATTATACAGCAGTTGTTTTGATTGCTCTCAATTTCGATAGCCCTAAAAAGATTATTATCAGTTTGTACATGCTCCAGATAGCTTTTCTTAAAATTCTTTAATTCTCACTCGCTTTTGCGCATGCGGACGCACAACTCTGTGAAAACGACTGAAAACTAGTGTGGACGCGGAGCGTTTTGAGACGAAAACGTCGTTTTTAAATCTGTCCAGGCGACAACAAAAGTTTTTCTTTGGAGATCAGTTGCCCCCCTTCACTTTTAGCTCAGTTCTTGAACATTTTTGGAGGGACTTTTTTGTGTTTATTTTTTTTAAGTCATTTATCGCTGACTTGTTAATTATTCAAGCATAAAAAGGGCCCATAACTCAAGGGATGAAGCAGTGTTTATCCCCAAATAGCCACAGTGAAAAGGTGGCTTGTCAAGAAGCCATTCCTAAGATGGGGAAAAAGCTGAGGTTTGCTAAATTACACAAGAACTGGACTGAAATTCAGTGGCAACAAGTTTTATGGAAGGTCTGGAGAGAGGTGCAGCAGTGAGTGCCTACAGTTATCTATAAAAAACGGTGGATCTTGTCAAAGAACCATCAGATTTTGAGCCAACATGCAATACCATTTAGAAAGCATCTGATTGGCTGATTGATCGGCTTTTTCAGCATGACAAAGATCCCAAACTGCAGTAAAAGCATTGAAAAGCACACAGTGGAACACAATCAGTCATGGATTGGCCTCTCCAGAACCAGATCCTCAACATTATTGAAGCAGCAAGTGATAGAGAACAAAAGGCGAACAACATCCAAAAATGAGCTTTAAATATACTTCAAAAAGCCTGAAAAACTATTCCTGAAGACTAATTAAAGAAATTACAAGAAAGCTTACCTACGAGAGTTCAGGCTGTGCTGAAGAATAAAACTGGTCATACCAAATATTGACATTCAAGCTTGTACAAAATCTGATTTTTTTTCCCCTTATATGCTGTATTTCCATGTATTTTTGCACATATTTCATTAAATTGTAGCCATTTCTCATTTCCAAGCAAAACATAAAGAGTTGAAGGGTGGCTCAAAACTTCTGCACAGTACTGTGTAACAAATAACAAAACGAGTTAGGAAGCTAGAGTCAGTAAGAACTGAGACAGTGTGTTGAAAAGGAGGTTGTATTTGACACATGTATGTTTTTGGCCTACAACCTCTGTGTAAACAAAAGAAACAAAAATCAAATATAGGCATCATTAAAGGTTTGCTGGAAGCTGTTTATATTACAGATCCCACATACAAAAATTACTAAGAGGAGAATGGAAACAATAGAAAAAGTGAATTGAACTCAGTAAATGTACTAATTAGTAATAACAACTCAAAGAAAATGAATGGAAAAAGTGGACAGCACGATGACAAGCTTAAAGTGAAAGGGCAAGTAGATGTTCTGTATATGAAGCAAAGGTTACAAAAGAAACCCAGAAAATTAAATGACAAAATGTGACTGATGACTTCAGTAAAAAAGTCAGCTTGTTCCTGAAAAAGTGATTTAGATAAGTCTGATTTTACCTTCCTCAATTTAATCCACCTTTTTTCACCTGAGTAAATTAACTTACTTTTTAAAAATTCACATTAAATGTAAAGTGCAAGTAAGCAGACTTAAACTGCAGCTGCAGAGATAACATCAAAGAAAATAGAAAGTGATACAATCCAAGAAGAGATCATTAAGGGAAAAAAAAGCTCACATTATCATATAGACAAGCTGTAAAATGTGTCTTATTCTATGAAGCTAGTGCTCTGTCAAAGGCACGTCTTCTCTGTATACGTGTAATTACATGACAAATGAATACTGTCATTTCAAGATGTAAACATGATCCGAGGGATTTTCATGACATCGCATACAGAATGAAAAAAAGGAATAAAGCTTAAATCTTGTTCTCATTGTCTCTGTCCGCGCTCCTGCTTGAAGGCTACGATAAACTTCCATGCTTCGACGTAATGGGCCAGGAGGATCTCTTCTGGGAAGAGCTCTTCCACATCGGCGGGAATGTCCATGTCTTTGCGCTCCATGTAAGACACCAGCGTGTCTTTCAAGCTTTAAAAGATGAAACAAGCAATTTGAATCAAATCTGCCACTGCTAGAATAATGCATATGACAACACAATGAATAAACATGAATCTTTACCCCCAGTCAGGCCTGAAGGTATCAGTTGCATTTGGCTTTTTGAGGAACAGCACCAGGAACTCATGCATCTCCAGGAGGAAAGTGTCAGCGCTGTTTTTAGAGAAGAAACCAATGAGCAGCCTGTGCTCGTCCTCACCCAGGGCCTGTTTGTACTTCTCTGAAACTCCTACAAACGGATCCTGATGAACACAAAACAACACATGTATAGGAATATTGATAATAATAACTATTGACACCTTTGTACTAGATCACATCTATGCATATAATAATACACCTCTGTGTCGGTGATGCTTACCCTCTTGAGGCGCAGCATGTTTTCTGATTTAAGTGAGGCCAGCAGCTGCCACAGTGCCACACAGTGTTTAAGGCAACACATGCCAAAGGCCTGTGGGCAAAACAATGTGAACGTGAGGCATAGAGAACATAAAGTAATTAAGATCTTGCCAGATCTTAAACTCAATGCTCCTAACTAGCAACAAAATTAAGTTTCTTTAAGCACACTTGGCACATTTCTGTTCTGTATAAACAGTATCCACATAGTCGTCAGAAAGAAAAAGCAACAGTATAAAATAGTCTCAGATAGGCCAACCTTGAGGATGTGCTGAGCCATCTGGTTTCCCATCTGCAGCACCTCCTCCAGGTAGGAGGACAGCTGCATATGAGGCTCTCCCCCAGTCATTGCAAGGAAACCAAGGGCCACTTCCAGCATTGACAAAGCATCACACACCTCACTGTAGGAGTGGAGCTCTCCAGCCACAGCAAAGAGAGTGAGAGTCTGAAGAGGCTCCTGTTGGCATACATCATAATGGCTGTTATCATCAGAAGCATGTACAGTATACACAATTTGTAATCTCGGATAAATAAATGCTAAATCCCAGCATGTTACTACCTATCACAACTTACTTGTTTGACTTTTTCTTTTATGACCTTGAGGATAATCTCGTAGTTGCGATCGTGTCTATTCACTAGTGTAGGAAGCCCCTGTGGATGAAGAACAAAGAGGGGGAAACTGTGCCTTAACAAACTGTGCATTGAATTGTCAGCAAAGCTGCTTTGCTCCTGATTCTCATTGGCTCACATTGAGAGTGATGAGAGGCTTGCCCAGCAGGAAGCGTGAGATGATCTGCTGCTCGATCTTAGGCAAGTCATACTCGTGAAGGGTCTCCTGGCCCCGCTCGATGCTGTACTGGGTGTTGGACAGAACCAGCGGCATCACATCCCTCTCCAGCTCGTAACGAATCACATGCAGGTCAGTTAGATCTGCAGGGCTTACTTTGTAGCTGAGAGAGGAATAAATAGAAAGTTTACCCAGGAGACAGTGTCTCTATATTTTAGGATTCTACTACTCTGACACTCTTTTTAGTCTTCAGCTCTTTCCAGATATAATTGAGATATCATAATGTTATTTTAATCCATATATATCTATATCTATATCCATATATATCTATATCTATATATATCTATATCTATATCTATATATATCTATATCTATATCTATATCTATATCTATATATATATATCTATATCTATATCTATATATATCTATATCTATATCTATATCTATATAT